CAGGAATGGGGCTGGGAATGGGATCCCAAGCTTTGTCCATGGAGGACAGGAATGTGGCATGGTGATGAGGTAGAGGTAGATAAGGAACTGGCCTGGAAGACCTAACTTCTCCCATTTCTCAGTGACTGGGATTTAGTAGGGTACATCTTGTGAATCCATCAGGCCAGCAGTATATATGTAGAATAGTAACACTTACTGGAAAACCCCAAAAGGATGGATTTCAAGTTGGAAAAAGATGCATTAGAAGCTAACAGTGTGATATGGTCAGGAAACAGCCAGAGTAACTGAGGGATGAGGCCTGGGATAGCTTCATAGGGAGCCAGATTTTGTTTCTATATAAGGAAGAACTTTTTATTGGAAAGACAGAATTTGCAGCTGCAGGAGGTGTTGTGTAGGAGATGTTCTGCACCTTACCAGGGACCATAGGGATTCATTAATGGGGGAGAAGGGGATCAGCTCAGTGGCCTTATGGTCTTTTTCTTGTGAGATCCAAGGTCCACTGGTTGTCAGTGGTTAAGACATAAGAGGAAGAGAGGCACACATGCATTAAGGAATGAAGGACCCCTTTGTGGATGTGGAAACTGATCTTTAAATGCTATTTGCAAAATGGACGGTAGAGACTCTATCATTCTGGTTTTCATACCTATCCCTGTAGCTCTCTCCTTGGTCCTTGGTTTTTAGAATTCCCAGGCCATCCATGGGCAGCTGTTTTTCATGGAATATCTCTTTCATCTGGTAAAACATTCCTGTGGCAATATTGGAAGGGACTTTGAAATCCTCACAAGATGACAATCTTTCTATAAGAACCACTGGGTCTGATGGCTGGTCTAGTAACAAATGAAGACCATCTCTTTACCCTCTTCAGGCCTGCTTCTGGGACCTCCTGGGAGTATGGCAGTGGTGAGACTTCTGTGCTGAGTTCTGGTTCTGGCATGTGGTGGAAGGTTCTCTGATCCTTTCCTTATCATTTAATAGTCACTTATGTTTGTGTCCATTTATTCAACATGGCAACAAATAAGAAATGTCTGCAAATTTTCAGGCACTTGAGGCATCTTTGCAAAAACAAGTAATCAACATAAATGTGTCAAGACTATTTGTCTAGGCCAAGTAGAAGCTGCTTTCAGAACTCATAGTTGGACAATCTTGGGATAGCTACCCAGTTTGTAGGTGAAACCATATAAGCTACAAGAGGAGAACTGATTCGTCCCAGGTTTTAAGGAGTGACTGATCTGGATTTAGGGTTTGGGTCCTTTTGCTCCCTGACCAGTGCTGTTTATTGCTAGAAGATTCTCTTGGGATGAGAACAAATAGCCTCATGGTGCAGGCCCAAAAGCTAGGAAGTGGGTGGTAATTCTGAAAAATGGCTCATCTGACCTATATAAGCCTTTACAACCAATAGCAGAACAAAATCATGCTAAGAAATAGAATCACTAGGAAGCTGATATATGGATTCCTTTTGCTGAGCAGACCGCTCTTTACCCATCCCACTATTCCCCCCAGCATCTCTTTTCTCTCTCCTTTCTCCTCCTCTAAATTAGTCTGGAGTTATTTTAGACCACATTCATTCCTGACTGACTTCACTGGTCCAATTTAGTCATTGAACACTACTCAGGAACTTCAGATTGGAATTAACCTTACAAGTTAAATGGGGCATTCCACACTCCTATTTCGAACTCCCCATCCCCGAAACCCTGAAAGTCTGGTTATGTTCTGGGTCTCCCCACCTGGTATCCATCCAATGAAGAACTCATGCAAAACTAAGTTCCCAGGAGGATTCTCTGCCCAAGAGAGTCAGGGATTGGGCTCCAAGAGTGGGGATTGTTTTAGACTCACCTGTCATTAAAAAAACTGCAGATGTATTCTTGGTGACCTCTTCAGGTGAATCCCACCAGATATCTCCCTTTACCCTGAATTAATAGAGTGACTTCATAAATGTAGTTGTATTCTCCCATGACCCCATTCCTAAGGTGAGCTTATAGACTTTCAAACTAGTTCCTCCCTTGTTTGGGTGGTGGAGCATGCGGGACAGTTTAGACTCCACTTCTTTTGGGGTTAAACATTTACTCCGAGTAAGGAATTCTGTCTTAAGTGGGGCATGTTCTTCAAGTGCCAGAGGACAGAAGGGTGATTTTTCTGACATCCTCCAGCCTGCTTCCCCATATATGGAAATGTTTACCCACCACACTGATCTATTGGAAGAGAAGGAGGTGACTCAGGGATTAGGAGAAGCAGGATTTGAATTCTTGTTTCCAGAAACCAAGTCTCTCCCCTCCCCCACTCTCCCCCATCCCTCCCCTCCATTCCTTTGCCCCTTGTTCTGGAAGCAGAGAAGAGAATATCTCAGTGCTCTTCCCCTCTGGCCTTGGGATCACCTCCTTGCAATAGGACTCCGGGTGTGTGAAAGGGAGTGAGAGCCAGCGGAGGGCCAGCTGCCTGACATCGCGTGAGTACATCATTATTGCTAGAGCAAATGGCATTTCTGCTCCCAGACCCTGGGTTTATAGCCCTGACAGCTGGCTTGCTTGCCGGGCGATGGGACTTGTTACTGGGAGCACTGTAGCTTTAATTTGGGGTGTGGACAGCTGCTTTCCCAGGGGAGTACTCCTCACAATGGGATTTAGAACAAGGCTCTGCTTGAGAAAAAATTCTATTTGTGTATAGAAAATATAGAGATATTTTTTTCCCACCTGAGGCCTACCTAGCTTGAATTGGATAGAAAGATAATTTGGGAGTGATGTCTGTTTGATTGCTAGGGCTAAAGCAACAAGCCAGAAGGGATGTTTGGGGATGCCTGGGCAGGGATAGTTTTAGCTTGAAAAGCAGGGCTATGGTTGGACTTACTAGTATGTACTAGTGGCATCTGCACAGCATCCACAGTCTGAAAAAAATATCTGGTTTGCAGGACATTTATGTTTTTTATTTAATATATATTTTTATTGATTTCAGAGGGGAAGGGAGTGGGAGAGAGAGATAGAAACATCAATGATGAGAGAGTATAATTGATGGGCTGCCTCCTGCCTGCCCCCTACTGGGGATCGAGCCCACAACCAGGGCATGTGCCCTTGATCAGAATAGAACCTGGGATCCTTCAGTCCATAGGCTGACGCTCTATCCACTGAGCGAAACCAGCCAGGGCTCTCTATCTTTTCTATGCATGCCTAAAGTAGTCCTATTAATTTTATCTACATTTTTTTGCATCTAAGAACATAAG